CGTAGTCGCACATATAATCAGTTATGTATGGGATTGGAGCATCATTAAACGACAGAGACCATTAAATTCAACTGAGGGCGGCTAAGCATAATTTTCTGACGAAGGAGTGATGCTCTTACAGCTGGACTCTTTAGGGTATGCAATCAAATCGGCGTGGTGGGTCAGGAGCAGGGTCAAGCGTGCGTTGAGGAATCCTCGACACGTCGCAGGGGGGGGGGTCGTATTGGCCCGCTGGGTGGAAGAGATCGAGCCATTTTGATGCAGTGGGATCATCACCGTCGGAAGACAAATATCAAGGATGAGTCGATGCCAGGCCAGAGGATTTCCAATGAAAATGATATTTCACCCACACAAAATTTTCGTGATTCTGAGGCGTCCGGTAATTCTTAGTTACTTCAGTGTTTTATCACCACACAAGTTAAAGAATCTGAATTTCGCACGCTTTCCAAGAGATATTTCATCTTTCAAGTAAGACCCCGAATCTGAAGGGATGTGAGGTACACGGCGCATCCGAGAAAGGGTCTAGTTGTTGCGCGCGCTTCAACTACGGCTCCTTGGACAAACAACCTCAATTCAGGAACAATCGAGAGAATTCTGAAAGTGTCCGTGCGCATTTACAGGGGGTGTACACCATTCAACATTGCGTTAACGGACTCTTCAGGGTTAAATTTATAAACATGTAACCTTTAAAGTTGAGAAACGCTAATCAATCACTTTTCTTAGAAAGAGAAAAGCAGTGATTCCAAATCTGCTCTTACTTTAGTACATAATCGCCCTTAAAAGGATATACAGCCGTTGAAATAGTGCCAATGTAGCGAAAAAGTGCCTTTCGGCGGTACTCGTGCGAAAATCCTCAACGTAGCCGTTTTTTTAATACTGGACGTTTGGAGCAGTTCTAGCTAGCATTTGATAGAGCAAATCTTCTAGTTTATGATGGCGTATTTACTTTTGGATTGGATGAGTTTGAACGGAGTTATGGCTTTAGGAAATAAAAAAACCCGCACTCATCACAAATTTTCCTCGTTAATTTTGCAGAAATCCTCAACGTGGCCATTTTTTGAATACTGGACGTATGAAGCTGCTTTAGCAACCGTTTGATAGAGAAAATCTTCTAGTTTTGTATGACGTATCAACTTTTTGAATTTGACGGAAAATGAAGCAAGTTATTGCTCCGGAAAGTGTAAAAACTCGTGCTCGTCTCGAATTTTCCTCGTTATTTGATCTAAATTTGTTATTTCTTATAACTTCCTGTAATTTCAGTACTGATTAGAAAAAGCTCTTCACAAAACTTCCAAATCTGCTTTCAGATTGAAAATTCGTCATATTTGAAGAAAGTTATAATCATTTGAATATTTGTTCAAATTTCAATAGTAAATAAGCTGCTCCACGGTCAACTGGGCGCCACCCGCCAAGTCCCACTCAACCCCCCCACCACCGCCTCGCGCGCAACCGCCCTTTTCACCACCTCCTCTTCCGCACCGAAGCCGCGCCGCCCGCACCTTAAACGCACCACCAAACTCTGCTGCTGTACACCGACATCTCCGCCGTCTACGTCTCTCGTCGCACGGACCACAACACACCCACAGCTGTTCCTCCCTCGCGTCACTGCCCCATTTCCCATACTCACCTCCCGCGCGCCCCCCCCCCCAATGTACTATAGGTTATTATTTAACTCACGTTGACGACAACGCCGCGTTTAGGCTTTTTTGACCGCCCGTGGACCACGACCCCCCGCGCGCATCCCTCGCACCGCCCCCCGCCGCGCCTCCCACCTCCCATCACGCCGCCTAACTCTCGCCCATCCTCACACACCCAACCTCAAAACATGAATGATAGAAAGTTAGATTAGTCTCTTTCAGTGCGTAAAAGCGCCCCAGAGATATAGTAGTGAAAATTTGGTTGAAAGTCGGATGAAATGATAGTGAAAAAGCAAAATTTGTCAGAATCGGCTGCAATGAACGTCAAAAGCAAACTCTCTCTCACCCACCGCTTATCGCACATCCCAGCCCAACTATCTTCGCCTCGTTCTCGACCGCTCCCGCTCTTGACTTACACACCCTCTTAATCACCTTTACCATCCCCATGCAAAGAAAATCGCAACACAAAACATCAACTGTTGACCCGATTCGCTTAGGTCTAGCACCACACTCCCCTACATTCTGAAGGCACCACGTACCATCTAACAGCCGCACCTATCGTTCTCCCTATCCCATATTCACAGGTTCTTCCTCCCTCACTACTCTACACGCCACTCACCAATGACTCACGTGTGCTCAGAAAAAAATAATGCACTGCGGTGCAGACACAACCCGCGCCCCTTCCGTTGTCCGCTCTACAAACGACCGACGTATTGTCCCTGCCCTGTCGTCAACCGTTACATACCACGTCCCCTCACACTCACCACGGGCGGAACAGGTTAGGCAAGTGCACGCTTTTTACGGTAGCGGTCCGGCGGCTCGAATATCTGGGGCGTAAGTCGCTCCGGCCCACCAAGAGCTTCCTCCCTCCGAGTCATTGGTCCAAATTCCGCCTTCCATCCCCCCCATCCCAGACTTGTCTGGGAGGATAAAAACACTGACTTGTACATCGGCTGGCCCCCGCAAGTCATTGTATAGGCCACATCGCATTCAAACGCCACTACGAATGTACAAATGGAAGTAGAATGCGTGCCGCATCCCAAAAAGGGATTGATCAACGGCAAATGCTTTATCCTTTATCCTTTAATACACCAATACTGTACAATCATTTCTTGTGCAACTTAAATTTTTAAAAAATTTCGCATGCAGGGAACGAAATCGGAGACGTTTCCAATCAACGGAAAAGGAGTCGTGAACGCGGCTTGATCAAATCAGACTATTGCGGATTTTACCGAGGATTCTTCAGTATACCTCCGTACATGTACATACATTTCTATAGTTTTTAACATATCGTCGAAATGTTCTATTGATATTAGAAAGATACTCAGTCCTAATCGTTTCGTTAGTAGTCTTCAGCTAAGTGAAGTAGTTTTTCACATGGAATCTAAAGTTAAAATAGTATTTCTGTGCAATCCTTTATGTTCAAAGGAAACATTGTTTTAAAAATTGAATGCCGGTGAAAACACAGTTATTACGTCTATTAAGTTATATTTATTCGTTATTAAAATGTGACTCGTGGAAAAAACCGTTTCTTTTCGTGTACTGCTGGTGTGTCAACACGCTCTCGTTTCTAGTCTACCGTCCTCAATTTCACGTACCTGGAAATAAATCATTAAAGCAACTCGCATTCCAGATGTTTAAGGAGTTTAACGGAGCCATTGGGCCGTATGATTTCCTTCTACAAAGCGGAGGATAAGCAATTACTCTTTGATCTTTATGTTTTTTTTCGGAAAGATCTCTCCCTAAAACAAATCAATCTAAGGCACCTACGGCATGTCTGTATGAATGCAGAACAACAAACCGATCTTACCGAAAGATTCCATAAAACATAAAGAACATTTCAAATGGATTCTTTACATCCTATTCCAAGAGGTAGGAAATCGCCCTAGAGCTCATGGTCATCCGCGAACTCATCAAAGTAAATGTGTAGTTGGATCTGGCGTACATCTAATCGACTACTTCTGAGACTTAACAATCCAAAACGCTACTACTGGGAAGTGAGGCTAGTGGCAGGTGTTCTGTAAAGCGAAGTGTTGGACAAAAATCAGTTGTCAGCAGTTCCGAATTTCTGCCGAGTGGGGGTTTCACCATGGTGATCGTCGAGAAGGTGAATATGCCTCATCAGGGCATTTTCTCACCTTCCCTAATAGAAAATCGCCCTTCATTGCCGGTTACGCTTACAAGCTTGAGATCACGATGAGATCACCAGAACAGAGTCAGTCCTACCGTTGGGACTTTTTGCAAAATTTTTTACGACGTACTCCTTCATCGGAGATTACATACGACCCTTTCCTCACAAGCGGCGGGGGGGAAGAGGGGAAGGGGGTATTTACGCACGCTGAAACGGCAAATTTTCTCCCGCGCGCTCTCACCTCATCACATGTAATTTCGTGCTACCGAAACAAGTACGACCCCCCACCACAAACTTCAACAAACTACGACCCCCCCCCCCCCCCCGTTGGTACTTGTCCCAACGTAGGGTTGATACTGCACCAGTGCTTAGTGGCTTCCGATCACTAGGCATGAATCGTATGAGGTCCCCTCGAAGACCCAGCTGAGAAGGCAGAGCAGTCGAATGTACTGGTCTTATTGGTTGCTCTTTTATTTAGTTACTGTCTATCCGATTGAATTTTTTGGCAGCAGGATTTATAGGCACATTCCGCAATTGGATCGCGGGACCAGTAAGGTTCCTGGGTCTGCATTCTCAGGGATAGGACCATTTTCGCTGTCTACAACACTTGGTAGAGGACTCAGTTCTTGCATAGACGTACGCTTCACGAATCCGGGCACCCCATCGTTGCGGAGTCTAGGATCCGCGCCAGGTGTTCTCGTCTCTGTCTGTCGTTCTTTCACCTCGACGCCAATGGCTGTTAACTGTTTCCCTATCTCTCGCTCGCCTTCTTGAAGCGCTTTCATTTGTTCCGATTCCTTTTTTCACCAGCGAGTTTGTTAAAATCTACTATAGCATAATTTAGCACGTTTTGCTAGCATGAAATGTGCCTTGAAACAGAGTGTTAATTTTGACATCTATGGATGTATGCTCATTATAGCTAACAACAGGTATAACAAAGCTCAAAATGCTCGTAAGTTCCACACCAGAAAGTGTTTAGCCATAAGCGGGCAGCTCTTCTAGAGCTCATGGCCTTAGGGATGTGGGAGGGGATTCAGAACAGGGCATTCAAGAAGCGTTGGTAGGCGACACTAGGACTGAGCCCAAGAGAAGGGAGAAAGGCCACGGAGCAAGAGTTGCTCACATCCCTCCTAGGTCTCTTATCCTCCCTAGGCTTGGTCCCAAGTGCTCCTTCAATGTCCCCCCCCCCTTCCCTCCCCCTCCCCAACGACATGAGCTCCGCTAATTCTATAGGGCATTCAGTGGGTGTAACATGCGGACAGTACACATAGCAATCCATTCTTTGCCTAAAAACATCTGTTTCAAGTTGCTTCTATTAGCTTTTCGGAGGACGGGTCATAGGGTGGGACAGAAGAAGTTCAACCAAGCAAAATTTCTCACTTGCACTCGCACTCCGTTGACCCGAAAGGCGCAGTCGGACCATTCAGAGGACGTCCCTTCCTGAACAAGTAATTAAAAAATAGAAGGGTTCTTGAATTCGATGTTTGGAGATAACATGTGATTTTTCACCTCTGATTCTAGCTTTTGATTATCATTTTTCCGCTTTTTACTTGTGGTCCGCCGACTTTCAGCACATCCATTTTCGATCATCACGAATCCTGGAGGGGTATCGACAATTGTGTCTTGAGATTTGGACACAGCTTCTTTGTACAAATGGCACAGTTGTTTCGTCGAATCAAATACTCCCGTCTAAAAATCAATATCTATCGAATAACGGTGAAAGCTTGATCACCTGTTTCTATACAAAGCTCTTTATAAAGCAGGTCCGTAAAATACGTCACTCTGACGTTTTTATAAAAAAGCTCATTTAGAAAGTGCTCTTTTAAAAACATTACTGAACAGAAACCTTGCAAGCGTCATCGTCAAGACATGCTTTTAAGCATTTTGTGATGCTTTGAGACGGCGTCTGATTGATTGGAATACCAGATAAACTTCTTTGTACGTGAAGAATAAACACTTCGTCAGCTTGACAGGTTTGATGTGATTCTAAATTACAAGTTGATTGGAGTGCGCAAATATTCGTAAGAATTTTTAGGAATAATGTCTTTCAGAAAATGAATTGTAACCATCTACACAGATATTGAACAGTTGGACAGGGAGGAACAGAGCTGTAGCCGCATCGCGCTCAATCAATCAAATCTAGGATCCGGCACGAAG